GTACAAAAATGTTCATTAAATAATGAATTTAATGTATTTTATGAAACGATAAGTGTATTTGTGATGGCATTTAGTGTGAAGTGTACACTATTTGATGATATTTACCGATAATAAAGGGTTTTTATTTGATGACATTATGAAAGCGTTACGTATTTTGTGTATAAATAATATGTATTTTTTGAAATGAAAACACTTATCGTGCGAAAGGATACGCCTCTCGCGTGTTGACAGCAATACCGCGGCGTTGACTGTGAGTCACAGTACTGTCACTAATGACATGCAAAACACATTCAAAACAATTACTAATCATTTCACGCATCATATGAAGGGCTCAGTCGTCGCACACGTGTCTCGCCAATAGTGGCCACACCTCAAGACATCACCGCAACTGAACCGCGAGAATCTCGACCACCGATCCACACAAACCACTTCTATATCGCCCGCAAGAATCTCATGAGTGCTCACCGGAACTGATCCCAAGACACACCCACACCACCGACAATGCTATCGCTATCGTCGACCGACAAACACATCCTTCACTGCATTTTATTGCTGTCTGTGATCGTAGTCTTCGAGTGTCTCAGCGGCGGTCTGAAGCTGTGGTACACCGACGCGGACACCGTTCCCATCGACCCGTTTGTGGCGTACGGCTGGTGGACGGCCGCCGGGCTCTACCTGTTCCGGGTGTTAGCGCTGCTATCGCTGCCGCAAGTGATGTGCAACTTCTTGGGGCTAACCCTTTACGACGCCTTCGCCTCGAAGGTCAGCCTCCGGGGGACACCACTGTTGGCGCCGTTCCTATGCGTGCGGACCGTCACGCGCGGCGATTATCCCGATCTCATCCGCCATAACGTGAACCGCAATCTCAATACGTGTCTTGCGGTCGGTTTAGAGAACTTTATCGTCGAAGTGGTCACCGATCGGGCGGTCGGTCTCCCGAAGAACCCAAGGATTCGCGAAGTGGTGGTCCCCGCGAGCTATCGCACCAAATCGGGCGCTATGTTTAAGGTATGGTCGGCCGCCATGAGTTGATCCATTGATATGTCCGATGAGTACTGACGCGTGGTTTGCATTGTCTTAAGGCGCGGGCGTTGCAGTACTGTCTGGAGGACGAGAACAACATATTGGGTGACAACGATTGGGTCGTCCACTTGGATGAGGAGACCATTATGACGGAGAACGCCGTGAGAGGTATACTGAACTTCGTGGTGAACAACAAGCATGAGTTCGGACAGGGATTGATCACATACGCCAACGAGGATGTGGTGAACTGGTGGACAACACTGGCCGACAGCTTCCGAGTGGCCGACGATATGGGAAAACTCCGGTTCCAGTTCTATATGTTTCACAGACCGCTGTTCAGCTGGAAAGGTATGCCACACAACACACCACTCAATGATAATTAGCAGTATTTGGTTGAAATGAGTGACAAAATAAGGTTAAATAATAGCTAATAATTAGATCAATGCTTAAGACTACGGGTATTAGAGATTTCTATCACTAAACCTAACCTAAAACTGTCGCTAATTATCACCAATCAACTGATCCCATACTGTGACACTTATTATCACTTACCCCGTAATTAACCGCTTCTACGCCCCCTCCTGCCCGCCCCCCACATAGGCTCATACGTGGTGACCAAACTGTCGGCCGAGCGGTCGGTGTCGTTCGACCACGGGTTGGACGGGTCGGTGGCAGAGGACTGTTACTTCTCGATGATCGCCTACAAGAACG